TTCATAATCGAAATCTATCAATAGGACAGTTACAACCTCTCTTTGAGAATTTAATTAGATTTACTTATATATGTCGATCAGAAATTAAGCAAAGATGATGATATCTCTTAATTGCAAAAAAAAAAAAAAAATGAAATAGGGATTTCATTGAATGTACTCTCTCTCTCTCTCTCTCTCTCTCTCTCCCTCTCTCTCTCTCTCTCTCTCTGTGTCTCTGTCTCTGTCTTCCCCCTCTCTCTTTCTCTCTGTCTGTCTGTCTCTGTCTCCCCCTCTCTCTCTGTCTCTCTCTCTCTCTCTCTCTCTCTCTCTCTCTCTCTCTCTCTCTCTCAAAATTTCTTCTGTTTCTTCTTTTATATGCAAATGTGTGTAGTATGTGGGTATGTGTGATTCTGTGAGTGAATGTATTTGTGGGTATGTATGGTGATATGAGTGAATGTGTTTCGTGGGTATGTATGGTGATATGAGTGAATGTGTTTTGTGGGTAGTGGTGTTAAGTGTTATACAATTCGTTGACAAATGAGCGAATACCATGATGGAAAGAATTTTCAATTGATGATGACTGTGACTCGTCATCTGTGATAGGGGTCAAAACTGAATCAAGAGGGAAATGAAACTTGGCCAAAACCTCAACAGGAGTAAAACTTGACTGAAATATCAACAAACCCATACTTTAATACATTTACTAAATTATAAACTCCAGTATGCGGTAACCTTCTACACGACCTCAGAGATTGTCCATCATTCTTGCCACGGTCACAATATGTGAAACCCTACGGAAATCTCTGTCTGTTCTTTGTCACGACTAAATATGCCTGGAACGACGCAAACTCCAATTGTCGCCGTCATGGAGGTCATCTGGTACAGATTGAAAACCAACAGAAACAGAACTTTGTCTACAACACACTGAAGTCCTTACATTGGAAGGAGATCCGGGTTTGGATAGGTGCAAATGACCGTGCTACTGAAGGCACGTGGAAGTGGACAGATGGTATGTAGCTTTCACAAGTATGGGCTATTGTTTTCGTCTTCAGCCCAATAGATTCTCGTTGGGAGACAGGAATGTCTTACGCGCTCAATATTTTTTTTCTGTTGAAAAAAATGACATCTGACCAGTTTAATACATTGCCCGACATTTGACAAAAAGATGAGCATATGCTCTCCTTCTGACTTTAGCTAAAATTATTGTGAAAATACAAATAAATACCACCAAGATAATTTGATCCTGACATAGACATTGATCTAACAGATATGCTGTTATAAGTAAGGAGGTGTTCATTGATTTGATCACAAGGACATCAAAAGTAAGCGAATTTGCAGATGTTAGTGTTTCTTTGTCTTTTGTCATTTGTTTACCTCCAATACAATCTACATGGTTATCATATATTTTTGGTGTTTGCCATATACACTAGTCTGTTCTCGAGTTGGTAAATGATTAATTTGATTATGTCATAGCTGTAATCCTGGTTGTTATGTTATGCCAGGAAAATCATTATCAGTATGATTTCTGCTTTTCCCTCGTAATTTCCGTTATACTTGTTTCAAGATATAACAATTTAAAAATAAGGTTTATTAGAGTGAACCTGTGAAACCTAATGCTATTCCACTGACTTATGGGATCCTCTAACGTTACTTTTTATGACTTGTTATAAAAGTCTATATGAATCACTGTGAGATTGTACCACTTAAGTGTTTTATATTCTAAAGGTACCAAACTGACTTACTCACACTGGCATGCAGGAGAGGGGCCGTCCCACAGTGGCTTCCTGTTTCAATCAGGGTACGAGGACTGCGCGATAATGAAGCTTGATGATGGCGGAAGATGGCACGACTATGACTGCGGGGGTGTTCTGTTTCTCGAAACATCCGTCTGTGAATACAGTAAGTGCTATGTCGGGGCCCTACAATAAGAGCTACGAAATATCTGCTCAAAGACAAATAGTATCGTTGTATTTGACCTGCTTAATAATGATTTAATTGGATTTCTTAGCTATAATTTATCCATATAAACAGTTCTTTCACAGTGCTTCCTTACCTAACGTGCTTACTCGGATTGCCTTTCAGGTCCGAATGTCAAAGGTCAATCACTAGCACTATTAATAGAAAATTAGTTTTTTTTTCTTTTTTGCAATAACTTCAGTTCTCTTTATCCATGCAACCTCAAACTTCGCACAGTCCTTCTTTACCAAAGGTGTTTGCTCAGATTATTTTTCAGGTCCGCAAGTCAAAGGTCAAGGTCACTGACACTATAAGTAGAAAATTAATATTTTTGCATTAACTTCAGTTCCCTTCGGCCGATCTACCTCAAACTTTATACAGTCCTTCCTTATCAGAAATAGAAATGATTGCTTGGCATAGCTTTTGAAGTTTGAAGGTCAAAGGTCTAGGACAGTGTTACCATGTATAGGAAATTGGTTTTCATGCGATAACTTGATTTTTCTTTGGACAATTACACTCAGACTGCATGCAGTGCTAAATTTCCAAAGGGGCTTGCTTGGGATTGCTTTTTAAGTTTAAAGGTCAAAGGTCAAGGCCAATTTTACTTTAAATAGAAAATATGATTTCGTACAATAACCTTGACAAAAATACTTGCTTGGGATTGCAGGTCAAAAGGTCAATCGTCAAGGTCATTGTAGCTGTAAAAAGAAAATAGTTTTGGTGTGATTATTTGAGTTTTCTTTGGACATTTAGACTCGAATTTCATACAAAGCTTCTTAACCAAAGGGGGTTGTTTGAGATTGATTTTCAGGTGGGTTGTCCCTGTTCCTGCTGAATTTTGAGCGAAGCATATTATATAAATGGAATAAATACAATGAATATCTATCATATTATATATTATTGTTAAATAAAACTCGTCTCCAGAAACCTTGCTGGGCAGAAGACACATCCACTTCCACTCAATAGACGTTTATCCAAGCTTCTTACCACAGTACAGTAACAAATCAGGGTTATAGTCTTATTGTGATAATGTATACTCGAGAACTTTAACACATCATCAACATTCTCTCCTGAGGGCATTTCTTCTATCAAAACATGGCATTTTCCCACTCTGCACACTAACGATATACCATTCCAAATTCGTTACGTAGATAAGAAGGATTTCGGCGGTAGATGTCAGTGTATATGGCTAGGAACTATACTGAGAAAAATACGTCTAGATTTACTGAGGATGAAATCGTAATTTCTATTTGACAATACCTTCATCGAGTTTGGCGGTCACATCTGAAACAGATTATTGACATAGCTGTGGGAACAAAGTATGTTCCTCTCTTGTCTGTCATTGTTTTCATTGGCTTTTTGTTTGATTTTTCATTCCTGCTGGTTTTATATATAAAAAAAACATATCGAAGCAGGTCACAAAGACGTTGTTACGTTCTTCAATTTCACTTTTAGATGTATTCATGGCGTCTTGTCGTACATATCCACCAGGTTGAAAATAAAAGACACGACAGACTATAAAATCATCCCCCCACCTCGATTTTTTTCCCACAACGAAACCAGCAGGGACAGATTTCCACCAAGCTTTATTATAAGTGTGATAATGTCTCTATAAGGGATGATTAGAGAGTGATAGTCCTTCTACCGCAGTCTGTGGTGTTTACGAGTTGATTTGATATTTCCAAGCAAGATGACGGTAACGAACAGATAAAATGACCTGGTTTAGAGGTGGAGAAGTTTGTTAAAGATTATGGTGAATTTTTGGTCGCCATCGCGCATGATCGTATCGGGAAATATCAATTTTTACTTACTCACTTGGGTTGACCATGACTATATTAAGCGATTAGTCGATGTCGTTTATTTACGTATTTTTTTGACGTGTCGTATTTTCTTCCTTTCTGTATCAGGAAGAAGTAAATATATTTCGAAATAAATTTGTGGGTATGTTTGCTGCCTTATCTAACCTCAATTAATTACAATCAAAATTTAATGTATCGAAATTTCCTTATAATTGACCATTATTTGTCATGTAGTTAATTTGTATACAAACACGTTAATTCGGTAGAATTTAACTTCTGGGCATTTATTTGTTGTTCATATTGCCATAAAAACGCAGAATTTTGGGACCTCATTGGTAACTTGTAACGACTACATGCATTTGTACTAAATGTAAAGTGACAGCTGACTACCTTTAGTGGTGTGATCAATTAAACATTTATCATCTGTGTCTTGTTTATAAACCTATTGCAGAAAAAATACGACGAACTACAACAACACTCCGAACAACGACGAAGTCAACGACACCGAAACCGACCACACAAACAACAACCATACCGACCACACAAACAACAACCATACCGACTACAACAAGAGGTACATAGAGTAGTCCCATATCTGTGATAATTACAAAACATTATTGAATCATGGGGCGAGTGAATCTCTGCCAAGTCTAGATTCTGACATTTCTTACGATCAATTTGAACTTTCTTTGTTCGCCTTCTAGATCTTAGCATTTGAGGTCCTTAGCATCACTGCCTAATCTAGAAGGACGAAACAGTTGTATGAAGCAGTCTCATTCAACATTTGACTCTTCTGTACCGAACTCTAATTTTCTTAATGAAAGTTTATATTCTCTAATAGGTGTCTTTTGTGTAAATCTTTTGAATATGAATCAGTCAGGATATTAATAATATACGTTGGCGTATCATTACAAATCCACATTCATTCCATATAACCCCGGCGAGCTTTTATAAAGAGCAGGTATCTTTCGAAATCTCCTGGAAGAAACTAACCAAATAAAAATTCAGCTGAAATACAAAATGGCGACCATCAGTAACAAACCTAAAACTCACCTTGATCCCGCACTTACTTTGATCGGTAAATAGATCCCTTCATTCCTGCTTCTACTTTAAACCTAGAGTTCAATGTTCACGAAACCCAGACCATTTGGAGTGATCAGTTGAATTCTATACATTATCACCAGAAAAAAACTTAACGTAACTTATTTTGTATTTCTTAGGAACTCCAGAGAAAATGTTCAGAAAATATCAGTTTTAGAGACTAAAATCTTTTGATAAAGCTTGTGAAATAATACATTTACTTTTCTTTTAAGAGACATGTGTATCATTCCTTCCTGGGGCCTCGCTCGTACAATTCTACAGACATTCCTGTTTAAGGTTTGTCAAAAGAGAAAAATCTTGGAACGATGCTAACACGGAGTGCACTAATCAAGGCGGACAGTTACTACAGATACACAGTCAACAAGACCAGGACTTCGTCTACCAGAGTCTGAAGTCTCTACACTGGAGCGACGCGGGGGCGTGGATAGGGGCCACTGACCGTGTTAGTGAGGGACACTGGTCGTGGACTGATGGTATGTATAGAGATAGGTGTGACTGACCGTGTTAGTGAGGGACACTTGACATGGAGTGATGGTAAGTATAAACATAGGTGTAACTGACCGTGTTAGTGAGGGACACTGGACATGGACTGATGGTAAGTATAGAGATAAGTGTGACTGACCGTGTTAGTGAGGGACACTGGACATGGACTGATGGTAAGTATAGAGATAGGGGCCACTGACCGTGTTAGTGAGGGACACTGGACATGGACTGATGGTAAGTATAGAGATAGGGGCCACTGAACGTGTTAGTGAGGGACACTGGACATGGACTGATGGTAAGTATAGAGATAGGGGCCACTGACCGTGTTAGTGAGGGACACTGGACATGGACTGATGGTAAGTATAGAGATAGGGGCCACTGACCGTGTTAGTGAGGGACACTGGACATGGACTGATGGTATGTATAGAGATAGGGGCCACTGACCGTGTTAGTGAGGGACACTGGACATGGACTGATGGTAAGTCTATGGACCATCTCATCAATGTTACTTTTATATATTGTTACTCTGGAAAGTTATATGAATTATATTAATTGATTTTAATTCTTTATTTATTTGAATTAACTCATGTTTGAGAAATTTCTGTTTGGGAAGGTTTGAAAAGCACTCTACCTACTTTGGTATGATACATTACTCAGAGTTGTTTTTCAATTGATATTTATCTTATGTATTTACAAGGAAAATACGAGTACACCTATGATTTTCAGGCTCGCCCGTACAGTATGGTCATTGGAACCGTGGAGAGGGGCCACATCACAACACCACAAATGAGAACTGTGCTATGATAAATGTGGATGACGGGATGTGGTATGACTACAATTGTGAATCTGTTATCTACAACCAGGCCTATATATGTCAGTACAGGCTTTGATCAGTAACATCGTCTCTCTATCAAGTATTCACATGGAAGTCCAGGCTGTGATTGGTAAAGTTATTTCCCCTTTATATATAAATATGTCAGTGAAGTCAGTGATAAGAAGAATTATCTCCCCTTTATATAGAAATATGTCAGTGAAGGCAGTGATAAGTAGAGTTATCTCCCCTTTATATAGAAATATGTCAGTAAAGGCAGTGGTAAGAAGAATTATCTCCCCTTTATATAGAAATATGTCAGTAAAGACAGTGATTAGTAGAGTTATCTCTCCTTTATGTATAAATTTATTTGCAACTTAACAAATAAATGTGCTTTACATACACTGGATAACACCATTCCCGGAAAACACAGCCATATCTACGTAATATTATGTACAACTGTATTGAATACAACGTATTGCAGAATAAAAACTATAAACTTTACATGTTATATATCTGTGTTTATTTAATGTTAGTTATTACTACACACTATAAACATCAACCAAAGTGAAGTCCGTACTGTCAAAAGGAGGCCTGCACAACACATGATGGAAGTTGTCCTTAAATAACTCCGTACGAGACGTCAAGACAAATAATTAGGTCTTAGTAAAGTTACATTCAATTTGTACTTAATTATAAAAAAAAAAAGTATTGATAATCGCCGTCCTAATTCGATCAACAACATATGAACGAAACGATTTCAACATACAATGTAGTTAAATAAGTGGATAGACAACATCACTAAGGTAATTGTTTGGAATATAATATCGGGTGGATATCTGATTAACACAAACATAATAAACAACACATTGAAGAGAATAGATAGAACTCATTCACATCGACTGTTATCTGTGTAGGGTAGGTCGATGGTCAGTCTGATTATAACACGTCACCTCCTACCTATCACACAGTGTTCGTGTCTGATGGTTACTGATACTTAAGCCTGACTACCACTCGTATGTTCGAACAGGATGAAAAAGGAAGTGGTGATCACCCTAGCGGTGCTATTAGGACTGGAATCAGGTACGTCGACGTAACAGCATGATAAAAGGGGGTGTGTAATCTTACTACTTCGTTTTAACTGCACGTAGTAGATAAAACAATTTCCAAAAAAATTTCGATTGACAGAAATAAAGGAGGGATATTTGATAGAAGGAAATATTTGTGTAAATAGTGAGTTTGATACGTCAGTAGTTCGAACGTGTAAGTATCCATTGTTACCGGGTTAATAGATTACAGAGAGAGAGCAGATAACAACATACGTTAATACACACACACACACACACACACACACACATATATATAGAGATT